GAATAAGCGAATGATTGTAAATTGACACTTATATAAGACTTAAGCATATAAGAAAAATGTATATATAAGAGTAAATTGAAATAAAGAGATTCAGTCTTCCATCAGGAGCACTCAAACCATCGTTTGATTTCTTCCGTGCGTTGCGCGGAAAATATATTTTTTAATACTTCCACATACGAGGAAGTTAATTTACGCATGTGTGTTCCTTTGTTGTCAATTCGTTTTCCTCTGCTTCCAGTTGTGTCTGGTTTTAGTGAGTGTTGTTCTTGTTTATTATCGTTTGTTCGTAGCCCGTTTAAGTTATTGCTATTTATGTATGCAATTGTTTTTATTTTCGTGCTCGATTTGTGTTTATTAGTTAGTTGTACCCTTTTTGTTTTGTGTTTTGACACTCACTTTATATAAATTCGTTTGTTAATATGTTTTTTTTTTTTGGTTTTACTGCACTTGTTAGACCTATGTGTTAGGCTATTGCTGATTTTTTTGTTTTGAAGTTGGCTTTGTATATTTTGAAATATGTATATATGTAGCCATGCATGTACATATGTATGTACATATATTTTTTTTCGTTTGCGCTTTATTGTTGTAATAACTTAAATTAACCGCATTTGTTTTTGGTAAATATATGTATAATATTTATTATTGTGCACCGCACTTTTGGTTTTTGTCACAACACTTCAACCTTTTCGATAAGTTATATATGTATGTTTATGTTTATTTTGTTTGGTTCGTATTTGGTCACCGCACTGTGTATATGTAACTAAATTTTTTTTTTTTTTTTTAATGATTTTTCACTCCATAGTGCCTCTCACTATGGCTCGAAGGGCCATGATTAATTATGCTACAATGTTAGCACTCACGTAAGACATGTTATTTCCCTTTTTTCATAAAACGCTCTTTTTAGATTTAAATTAAAAATTTTTATTTTTTATTTTTTTTATTATGTTTTTTTTATTATTATTTATTATGTTATTTTTCACAACCTTTGAACTAAAAGTTAATACCACGATTTTAAAGAGGTCGGTAGCGGAGATAGCGATTACACGGTGACGTTGCGCAAAAGAGATCGGAATTATTTCGAATGTGTTGAATTGAAGATCCAATCCCTCTTTCATTGTTGATTGTGTGGGGTGTCATCGTGTATGGTGGCTACTTCTGTGGTACATCGTGTGCAGTGTGGTCGTGTATGTTGTGAGTGCGAGTTGTGTTCCAAGGTGTGTTGTATTAGGGTGTGTCATTATTTACCCTGATGAAGCGGTGTAGTTGGAAGGGGAGTTTATAGTCATTTAAACATCGAGATATTTGCATTTTAAGTTGAAAATTTTCACAAATTTTATCTTACAATTTCTCGATTTATAGTTCATTTTTCTTTTATGTTATGCACTTATTATACACTTACACTTCACTATAATTTTTCTACGTATTTATTTTATATTAATTGTATTAAAATTTGCTTTAAATAAGCATTTTATTTTTACATAATTTTCTTAATATGCACAATAACAAATGGGTTCCATGTTAACAGATAATAAGTGTTGTCAGATCCAAACGAATGAAAGCAATCATCTTAAATAAAATACGCTCTACAAAATTAACTTATATGCACAATATTTACTAATTCAACGACAAAACGAGCAAGAAAAATAAACGGTACTTAGTTTAGTTGTAACAATATCCGTAATAATCCGTTATAGGAAATGAAGTTTAAAGAGAGTGATATACCCTCTTTAACATTACTTTTTTTGGTTAGATCTTCTATTTGCATTGGCCGCCTTCGGCTGCGCTTCAAAAAAATAACCCTAGCCGATCCAACACCGGGGGTGGTCGTTATTCCTTTCGCGTCGAACTTCTTTCTGAATTGGCGGCCTTCGGCCGCGCTTCGAACAAATAACCCTGGCTGATCGAACACCGGGGTGGTCGTATATCCTATTTCTTTCTGATAAAAAACACTGGCCAATCCAATACCATGCTTTATCAAGAGAAGATGACGAACAATATTATGGTTAATATATTTGTGGTATAATCCTCTATTATTCATTTTAATTCGTTTGCAAAATATAAATATATAAAATAGATTTGGCAACACTTATTATCTGTCAACATGGAACCCATTTGTTATTGTACATAAAACGAAAATTGTGTAAAAATAAAATGCTGATTTAAAGCAAATATTAAAATAATTAATATAATGTAAATATGTAGAAACATTGTACTGAAGTGTAAGTGTATAATAAGTGCATAATATAAAAGAAAAATGAACTATAAATCGAGAACTTGTAAGATAAAATTTGTGAAATTTTCAACTTAATATGCAAATATTTCGAAAACTATAAGTTTCCGGCGGTTATAATTGTATATATTCTTTATCTGGAGAATCTCCTCTATGCAACCATATCCCTTTTAACCCTGAAATCGTGGGATGGTATACTAAAGCCGACCCCTTTTTTTGCTGAGTTGGGCACCAATTACATTTTTGTTGTTTCATTCAGTATTTATTATTTAGTTATCTTTTATAATATAATTTACTATAATATTATATTATAATTTAAATTATTTTTAACTAGGAGGATTCAACTCCTCTTACTTTTATAATGATCGACCGACGCAATAACTCAGGATTTGCTCGTTGTCTTCTATCACTGTTAGATTCAACAACAAGCGCCAGTATTTTTCCAAATTATAATCACCGTTAAGCAATTAATGCAAAGGTACTGGACTCTTCTTGTTTAAGGTCTTACAGTTGAGGAAAACGCTATTTACTTTGTGGTTAGTGCAAGGTTGCTGACCAGGGATAATGGGATGCTCAACTCTTTCCAGTGTGAGAGTCCTCAAAATCAGCGTTTTTTACAACATTTTCTATTCTAGCCAGATCGGACAAAATAATAATTTTTGGGAATTTAAATTAAAATACCCATCATTTATTAAGATTAAATATTATTATACATGTATCTGTTAAACATATGCAGAAACTTTTTATACTTTTTTTTTGTGATTTTGTAATATATTAAAAAAATTTTTTTTGAACTTTCAATACGTAATCAAAACAATAAATGTATTAGCTCTCAATTAATAAATGTTTTTAAAAATTTTCAACTGAAAATCAATACCACTGAGCATGACATCACAAAAGATATCATCACATACATTTCAATTTCGCGTTTTCTTTCATTTTCATTGTTTTCCAATTTTTGTTAGTGATCTTCAACAGCAGCACAAATTTCTCTGTTTACATATTTTTCTGTAGGATTTTAATCTGGCCGTCCCTCTTTTTCCAATTGCTAAACGTCAGACCTGCTGAACTTTGACAGTTGCTTGAGCTCAGTAGGTTTTGACGTTTATCAATTGCACTTTCATTTCCAGTGAGAGACGAATTGGGCATCTCTTTATCTCTGTTGCTGACTGCCTGCATTTGACAATCAAGTAAAAAACCTCTTACTTTATCCCATCATACGAAAATGGAGAACAAAATCTATAAGTCAAAAGCGATCTCCAACATAACCCAGCATACGAAAATGGGTAGCATAATCGATCAGCCAAAAATAATATATTGTATATTTCATAAACATATCAACGTAAATAAACAATAGTAAAGCTTTATATACAATACATAAGTACGCACAAGCATACAGTAGCCACAGCATGTCCATGTATTTACAACAACTATGTTCACATGTACCTATCCGTAGATATCAAACCAAATATTTTGTTCTTGGGAAGATGGAGTTTCTAGTTATTTGACACCGTACGAAAGAAAACATTGAGAGGATGGGTATGAGACGGTTAATAAGGCAGCGTACAACCATTTTTATTAACTAGGGAAGACAGTGGGAAATAATCATTTTTCTTTACATGAGTTGATTTAATTTTGTCAATCTTTCGTCCGTCCGGTAGTGTGGACATATTTTTTTGTTTTGTATATGTATGTATTGCTAATGCTTTCCTCCTTAATGTTGCTCTTGTATCTTTAACCCACGGGATCATAGACATCCAATAAATTCAGTTATTTCAAAAACTTTACATTAAACAAGTAAGAAAAGCCTTAGTTCGAGTGTAACCAAACATTTGTGAGCCTCAAAATCCAGGAAATAGTTTCATGTGTAGGTAAAACTTTATATTAAATAAAAAAATGTTCACTTCGGTTGTACCGAAACTATAACACGCTTCACAAATATTGAGTTTTCCTCTGCGAGAATAGTTTGGAGATTTGATAATTTCAAGAAATTCTGACATTGAATGGCCTCCAAGAAGTTGTGATTTAACACCATTATACTACTTCTTGTGGGATTATTTGAAGTCATTGGTTTTTAGAAATAAACCAGACTCTCTTCAAGCTTTAGAAGTCAATATTGACCGTGCTATTCATGACACACGACTTGATTCAGAGAGAAAAAGTACTCGAAAATTGGTTTCATCGAATTCGTTCTTGCAAATGAAGTCGTGAAGGCGATTTGAATGATGTTATATTCCGATCATAATTTTATCGATTGTACTTCACATTAAATAAAATTTTAATTTCCTTAACAACTAGTGCGTTTTTTTTAATCATATTACTCCTATTGAAAAACCCTGTACAAAAGATTCAACACAAGAACTTGATTTTGATCGTTCAGTTTATATGGCAAGTATATGATATAGTAGTCCGATCTGAAAATTGTTTTCAAATGTTGTAGCGTTATTTTAGACAATAACACAATATCGTGAAGATATCTGATCAAATAAAAAAGTTGTCCATACAAGAACTTGATATCGGCGGTCCCGACAAATGAACAGCTTCTTGGAGAGAAAAAGATGCGTGGAAATTTTCAAAGTTAGTTCGCGTAATACAGAAAGACAGACATGGCTAAATCAACTCATCTCGCAACGCTGTTCATATATATTATATTTATATTTTATAGGGTCCTCGACGTTTTCCTCTGTATGTTAAAAATATCGTGGCAAACTTAGTATATCCGGTTCAGGGTATAAAAATGTGATGGAAACGTTCAGCGTTCATTATACGATGAAATTGTGAATAGCAATACGGGAGACCTGTTTTAATTAGCTTAAATGCAAATCAGCTATTTAATGTCTACTGAATGTAAAGACAAGTAGAATTGTTTATAATTCTCTTTAAATACGTGCAAACCAGGCAGCAAATGCTGATGAATAAAATATTTATATTTAATTTCAAACAATTTATTAAACCAATAAACAGAAAGCAAAGTTTTACAGGTAATTTATCACAACAATATACACGGGTTGAACTTAACCGTTTTCTTCGTGTCCGAGAGATTTAACTATATTAATATCAGCTTAAAGTGGTCGGATCATTTAGAGGCAGAAAAAAATCATCATACATTTTTGTGCATATTTAAATGTTTTTTTTTAATGATTGAACCACTCAAAAATGTTGAAAAATGGCGGGGGAAGCTATATTTCAATGGAATGTGTCACAACTGATACCATCCATTGGCGTACAAAGTAGCGTCCGTAATTATTATCTGTAACAGTGAATAAAAATATCTTGTTAATTTGTATACTTTTTCACTCTATGTGAACCTCCGAAAGCTAATTAAAACTGAAAATTAATCATTTTTTCCAATGTTTGAATTTTGAACTCGATTTTAACGTAAAATTTGTGCATATTTTCACTTAAAATTAAGGATATCGAAATAATTATCAATATCTTAGGTTTACATAGAATACTTGTTGATACTTTAAAAAATAGGAGCTGAATCAGATTGATAGATGAGATAGTTTTTGCACAATCGTGCACGTCAATTGTAAAAACATGGTTTTCAGAAAAAGACCTCAACTGATAAACGACTGACACTTTATTTTATTAACTGAAATATCTTTTGAAGCACTTAAAAATTATAGCTAATATTTTACATATATGTTTTCGGATAGTTTGGAAGAGATTAAGCTACAAAAAAAAGTCGGCTTTTTTTGATTTAAATGATCCTAAACTAGTACGCCACATTTTGACAAAACACTAATCAAATAGGTATAATAATATTCTCGTTTAATTCTATTGAGACATGTTCATTGAGGTATATTTTTTAGGTTAAGTCACACATTGACCGATAATAAACCGTATCATAACTAGCCTAAATTACATCAAAACCGTGGTACTCATATGATTTTCAGAAAAAATGCTCTCTGAGTTTCAATAAAATACCTGAATCGATGTATGAAGTCAATTGGCTAAATTTAATATATGGGGTATATTTCATTCATATTCAGCACTCATTATTGTTAACGAAAATAATCCACTTAATTTCATTGAAATACCACACATATTAACCGACATAACTTTAAAGTCAGATGGAAAATCGAATTGGGTGTTTAATTACGTTTAATACGATTTGTAATTTTCTTAAAATATCTGTATTTTTTCCATAAACTCAATAATTATGACATTTTGTCTTTTATTCTTATGTTTTCCTATATAGAAATAAAGATAAATTAAATCTTAACATTAATATAAATTAATTTCTTAACTTACATTTTAAATCTGTCAGCTTCTATCTTCTTGCTATGTTTCTGATACAAAGCCGATAAAATTGGTTTCCATGGCACCCAAAACCGATACAATTTCTGTTTCGAACATCAAATCAATAATATCTGAATTCATAACAGCTAATAAATTGTTCTATCGGTATCAATTCTGATTCTGACAATCATATCAGATTCTACAACACCCCTGAATTTTTAAAGAATGAAATCAAATTAATTTCAGATATATTAAGCAGCAATTTTTTCCCGATCTTCATCATTACGTTCATTTTTTCTTTTTTAAAGCTCAACTTTCCCTTTTCAAATTGTAGGGACTCTTCGTGACGAGCTCGTTCTATTTGAGCTTAATTTTTCAAGAAATCCAGTGCTTCATTGTTGGCAGTTTTCGGACGCTTTCTTTATTCATTTAGGAATTGACTTTCGTCAAACTTTTCGTCGCCACTCACTTCACATATGCCAATGCTGCCTACCGTACACCTTGTCAAACTGTTCATAGAACTTCCAGCTTGTTGCCTCTCTCCCTATTTGTCCGTTACGCTTCTTGATGCGTTTATAAGTTGCAAATAAATTCAAACTTTTTTTTTGCATTTGGTCTTTAGATTGAGAAAAGTCAGGATTTACCAAACACATATTCACCACCTTGTCCCATAAAACCGATTTTTTACTCTTTCCCGTGGAAAACTCCTGATCCATGTCGAGCCGGTATCTGACGAGAAGCTTGGTGAAATTTTCATTCAGTTTCGGTCTGGAAAGGCATTTAAAATAATATATTATTCACTAGCGGACGCGACAGACTTGGTTCTGTCAAATAGATTTGGAATGTGGCAGTTTATTGTTTCTACCTATTTTATAGTTGGCGGAAAAATTCTCCTGAACAGAACCGTAGCCCTGATGATAGGGCGGTGTGTAAGGGTCAGCTTGGGTGACTAAAGTGTTTTCGCTTTCACGAACTTTGGCCACCCTTTTGGGACCAATCAAAAAACCCCGACTTGTATATTTGCCAGAAGGCTTTAAACTAATAGGCGAACTTAAGGTTCAAACCTGATTGGAGAATAATCTAAAGGTATAGTAGGAAGCTAAAGGCGACAAATATTCAAAAAATGGGTGCTTCAGTGACATAACATAGAGATAGACGAATTATTAACCGATGTAATAAAAAATAATGAAATAAAACGTGTATAAGCATTTAAAGTAATCGCTTTATTGATTATCAAGTAAATCATAATAATTAATAACTAGAAGACCCCGACCACGCCTTGGTCGGCTTATAATTAAATTATATTGAGTAAGCAGTTTAATTTAGTAAAATGTTATTATTATAACTAGTTTCAGCATTTTTTCCTGTCCATATAGCTCGATTATCGAGCCAGTTATGATATAAATAATTATTTTGTGTGACTTTGAAAATACGGGAAATTTAATTATTTTGTCCGTGTACAATAGTGCTGAAATTGGCTGGAAGTTTAGGGCATTTCGTATTTGGTTGCAGTTAGTATATGAAATCTAACTTCTATTCTGAAATCTAACTCATAGTATACATATTTTATTATTATTAAATACTTACATTAAAATGAAATCATCACTGGTATTATTAATATTACCGTCAAAGTCGGTACATTTAATTGTCGCGAGTAATTTTCAAAAATTAGTAAATTAGTGCGATAGAATTTGATTAGAGAACCACATTTCCGAACAAACGATGCTCTTTCAATATAGTCTATGGCTGTGAATGACGATGACATTCGTTACGCGCATTTTTTAAAATAGGCAAAATTAAATTATTTTTTCAATCTTTCTGAGACATCTTCTTAATATTTTTTTCCGTAAGAACCTTCTACAGAGTATTAGAAAACTACAAAAAAAACCGCCAAATCGGTCTAGCCGTTCTCAAGTTATGGCGTGACAACGGTCAACGGGTTTCATTTTTATATATTATATATAGAAAATCAAATTTATTTTCATTGTAGTGCTTTGTGAACGAGCAACATACAATTGACCATGTGAGAAACATGGGTTTTCTAGATTAATACCACAAACACATAATGAAGAACTAATTTGTGGTCATAGCAAAAGTAAGCCGCTCTGGAAACTGTAGTCGTTTAAATTCTTCTCCTTTATTCTTTTCTTTCAGTATAGTTGCTTCTATCACATTGTTCAGTAATTTTATTTTATCGCTAACCGTGTGCCGTTGCAAAGACGCGGTTGGTTGATATTTCGCAACATTATAGTTACCGATTCAACCTTTAATTGAAGATTGTGAGGTAGCAATCCTGGCAAATCCAGCGAGTTTAAAAATTCAGGTAGATAGTTGACGACATCATCTTGGTTAGTAGCCGAATCAAACGATTTATATATCCTCAATTGGCTTGAAATTAAAACATTTACATCTATGTTTTTTGCAGTCAATATAGCTCGCTTGCTCAACCAATCATGGTTTCTATAATTTTGAGCAACATCTGGAAAAACCTTTGAAAAAGTTCATCTTTTGATCGAGTTAACTAACAAAGACCTTGAGGAAAGGTAATGCAGCCAGTCAACATGTCTATAGAAAATTTGCCATTACCAATGTCAATGAGTTGTTTAGAGAATATATCTCCATATTGGTCATTTGGCAACTTCACACGCATATTATTGCTTAAATGTAATACTTTGACATGTTTCCACAAATTTGAGGATTTTGCTTTGCATATTTAATGGCAATTTTAGTGCTGAATGGGCTGTTCGACCACTTTTAAGTAAAGTTGCTACGATTCCCGACGAAGCGAGTGCAAGTGCAATTTTATTTTGTGAGCGAATTATTGCTAATATTAATGAAATCAAAAAAGTTTTTCCTGTACCACCAGGTGCATCTAAGAAGTAAATCCCTCCAGTTTCATCATTTGTTACTTTTATAAGAGTATATAATATTATATTATATTATATATTGGGTTGGCAACTAAGTAATTGCGGATTTCATTCATAGATGGCTTCAGTTGAATTTTTAGGTTTGCTGGCGTAGTCCAGATGTAAAACACATTTTGTTATTTGATAGTTGGCAAGTCAGCTGTCAATCAGTAAAAAAAAGTTTTTGGATCGGTTGCGTAGTTTTCGTTTGGCGTTCGTTGAAAAATGGAAGATCAAAAGGAACATTCTCACACAGTCATATTTTGCTTTTTTATTTTCGCAAAGGGAAAAACGCGTCGCACGCTCACAAAAAGTTATTTCAAAATTGATTTGCCAAATTTCGTTCTGGTGATTTTTCACTCAAAGATGAAAAACGCTCTGGTCGTCCAGTTGAAGTTGATGATTCCAATTCTGGCAATTTTACTTTGCCTCCAGCACAACATAATCCAGTAGATTCACCAGTGTCTTAACGCCTTACAATATTTACAAATTATGTACGCCGGATCATAGCGGAATTCATCTCGTTCAAGAATCACAGGAGCACTGCGTCTGCGGATTCGCTCAATTTCATTATGTCTCGCTTGCTGTTGTTGTGTTTAATGTGCACGAACTCGTTGCATTCTAAGCCTATCTCCTACATTGTCACTCACTAAAGAACGCAGTTCTGACGTAGTAATACGACTATTTTCTCTATTTGATCTGTCTCTCTCTGGTTATCAGTGCGGTTAGCACGTGAGTGACTGCGATGACCTATGTCAGGTCGTCTTCTTCTCGGCATCGTAAATTGTAATTAATCAATTTATTTTATCTAAACCTTACTTTTTTAAATT